GTCAAAGATAATCCCTAAACAGAAGAAGAAGAAGAAGAAGAAGAAGATAATTTCTTGTCTTCAAAGGCAGTGGATTTGCATTGGCCTTCTTGTGGAAATTAAATAAAAAAAAAAAAGAAAAAAAAAAAAAAGAAGATCCCTAATTGGTGCTGGTTCACTCCATCTTTATTTTCCTGCATTTTCTTGTTTATTTTCTTTTCTTGGGGCTGGAATTCTTCATGGAAGATCCTAAGAAATTTAACCCTCTCTCTCTCTGTCTCTCTCTAGATTTATAATTAAGTCAAACTGTACAAGCCATCCCACCCTTGATCAATAAGACTGCATTACAGAACACGCAACAGCTTGAGCCCAATGCCTCAATTTCGTCTTCACCTGTTGTGGATTGTCTCCTGTTCCCGCACGAACCCAGATCAGATTTCGTTTTAAATTGATTTAATAACATTCAAAAATTGTTTTTTTTTTTTTTTTTGATAATTTAATTTACCTGGGCTTAAAATTTTCCAAGAATCTGAATCACTCATCCTGGGACTCCCCAACGAAGATGATCGGCTTCCCGGTGTTGACACCGGACTCGGAGAAAATTGACGGTTGACCGCAAAATAAAGGTCAAGCGCCGGCAATGTGTTGCAGAGCTGTTGACCTTCTTCTTCCTTAAACCCAAAACCAAGCTCTATACAACCCTTGAGTTCATGCAGATCTTCATCCGTCAAATCGTCTGACTCACTATTATTACTATTCGATCCATTAATACTTCTCCTCCTTTCCTGTCGAAGAATCTGCTGTCGTCTTCTCTCCCAAGCAATATCCCTCGGCGTCTCGCACATGGACAGCTGTTTCGACAACCTTTTTTTATTCATCTTCAACCTCGGCGGAACCAATGGCATCTGCTGCAACTCCTCATCGTGATCACCACTACCCTCGCTGTAAACCGACGGAGAAGACGCCGAACTCTGCAAACCCACTTGTCGTTCCTGCCCTTGTTTCCCCATAACCAAACTTTCTTTCTTTGATTGTTTCTTTCCTTCTTCTCCCCCACTGCCGGCCGCGTTGCAGCCTGAACTGCCGCGGCCAAGCCCCAGAAAGATCGAAAAGTGCAGAATGGGGGTTGGGGGTGGGGCGGCGTTCAGGGAGATGCTATATATATATATATATATATATATGTACGGGGATGTGGGTGGGAGTAATTAGGGTGGATTGTGAGAGGTGGTTCTGCCGAGGATGGAAAAAAAGGTGGTTTGTTTTTTAACAGCACCAGCCCAACCAGCTCAGGCGGAGGCAGAAATGGGTGTGATTTAACAAGGAGAAAAACTTGGAAGGTGACGCCTATCCATTAGCTGGTTTCATCATCAACGGCCGGTTACTCGCCATTTTCGGAACCTTTTCTTTTTTAGCTACTATATTCTTGCTTTAACATTTCTCTGTCTCGTCTACCTATACATATACATATACATACACACACACACACACACACACACACACACACACACACACATATATATATATATCATATCATATCATTAACTGAATTATCTTTTTTTGGAATCTATGCATGGTTGGTTTTATTTTTATAAATAATGAAAATTATAGAAGATTCCATTACTTACGCCTACATTAACCAATATAACGCTTTTTTTTTTCCGTTAAAAAAAACGGTTTACCAACCCACAAACCATAATTTAGTTTGTAAATATATACATATATATATATATTACAAATTTAACGGTGTTTGATTAATCAAAGTTCTGTTTATTAGTATTTTGTAATATTATTGATGTTTATTTTATATATTACGAATATAATAATATAATTTAATAGAGTGTCACGTAACATATAATGTAATATAAAATAATATTTAAATTTTAAAAATAAAAATAAAAACCTAATATATATATATATATATATATTTGGAAATTTGATTGGTTTATCTTTGTAGTTTAAATATTATAACTCTAATATTTTAAATTCAATTACTTTTATTATATATTAGTAATTACTTTTAAATTTGTATTTAAACAATTTAACAATAAATTAGTTTGAAATATGTATGTTTTAATAATTATTTTTAATCAATTAAAATATGTACAAATTAGTCAAAAAATAGTGAAGAATTTTCTAAAATGTCAATATAATTTTAATTTGATTAATTTTAATTCCATTAAAACACTAGTTTCATTCATTAAATTATAATAACTGCATTTTACAAAATTAAATTAAATTAAATCAATTATTCTTACTAACAATTAAGAATTTTCTTAGTTTAAAAGTTTAATAATTATTAAAATTAAATAATTAAATTATATTTCTTTTGTATCTAACCCTATTAATCTCTTTTTTATTTCAGATATGACTCATAGATCGGAAGATTTTATTGTTTGGCAGAAATCACCCACAGGGTGGATCAGAGTGAACACCAATGGAGCTTATCATGTTACTACCAACCTCTATTGCTGTGGCGGTCTTATTAAAGATGAGAATGAAGTTTGCCGGAGAAGTTCTAGCGAGAAGATTAGTAACTGTTTGGTTATGCAGGCCGAACTTTGGGGGACATTTGACGATTTTCAACTCACTTGAAATGCCGGGCACCACAACATTATCCTATAAATAAATAGCTCTCTGGCTGTATAGTTGTTTACCAAAAAAGATTATCTCACCAATGCGCATGATGGCTTCGTCCGTGATATTAAGAACTTACTTTGATAGGACTGACGCGTCTGTATTCAACATACTTATCGAGAATAAAATAAATGCAGTAACTAATTGGCGAATGTTAATTTCTCTTTACAACTAAGTTTCCATCAACATGTTCGGATACCTGATAATATTCAACAACTTTTCATGAACGATGTCATAGGTGTCTCTTGAAGAACTCTTAAGTACTCTAAGTTTTTACAACTATTTGTAACAATATATATATGTATATGTATATATATATATACATATGTATATATATATATAGAGTGTATTGAATCAAAACATCAAACGAATTTTAAATAAAAAACAGGTAAAGAAGATGAGAAAGACAAGTTGGGCCAATAAGAACAACAAAGCCCAATAAGAGAGTTTTACCATTTATTTCGGCCCAACTTGAAGCAACCCTGCAAACCCTAATTTCCTCTTTAAATACTCCAATTTTCATCTGTATGCCGCACC